CCTCCTTCCCCGGTAATGGCCAGCCCTACAGTCCCCGCCATATCTGCCCCTCCCTGTTAAGACCGTAATGCTCCGGCCCACTCCCGGGTCCGTAGTTCCTCCACCCACCCCTATAGCCCCCACGTTTCCTGACAGGCCCTTCGAATCAGTCATCCTCTCACACAAACATGGCCACTCATCCATGCATTCCCCACATAGGTCAATTAAAACAGAAAAAGTACAACAATAATGAAGTTTTAAAAAGTGGGTACCGTCATCAATCAGACATACCATTCACACCGCATTCCTAAAAAAGTTTTCGCACTGTGCAAGTATAGCTTAATAACTGCGCAAATAGTTCTTAAAAGTTTGAGATAGCTGAGCACCAACGGTGGTATACAGGTGATATACAGGTAGTAAGCAGATGGTATACCTCGTTCTTGGAAGGTATAATAATAAAGGGTCCAGAGTCTAAAGTCCGGGGTGGCCGAGGTGGATCGTGAAGAAGGGGGGGGGTACATTAAAAAATTAAGTCCCCTCTTATAGTGATGGTAGTCCAGAGAGGTCCCCAAGGGTTCAGCAAGCCGGGCAAGCCGGGTGGGCGCAGTCAGAAGATGTTGCAAATACCAAAAGATCATAAAAATGCCGCCATCATCCATATGCCGCCCGCAGCGGCGAGCAGAGAGGAGGCTGCGCCAGGGAGAAGGGGGGGCTAGAGGGCTGAGGTGGCCAGAAACCAGCCACCCAGTTTCGGCAACATAGATGGAAAACTCAGCCACTCCTTCCTCAGGGTGAGGTGCAGGTCTAACACAAGCCCCAGATCTTAGTCTCTCCAAATTCGGAAAGAAACGCTCGTCCCCAGCTCGTAACACGCTGGGAAGCTGCCATCCGTGTGAGGGGAGGGGGGGTGCCCGACAACGCCGACAACGCCGAAGGCCGCTCGGGACTGTCCTCCAAAACTCCAGCCAGAGAATCCCGGCAGCAGTGTCTCTAAGACGAGTTAGTATCGGCAACTTCCCTCGAGCCGCGTCTGAAGCGTCGGCAGCCTCTGCCCCAAACCCAGTGCTTTTTTTTCGGTATCTCCTGCGTCGTCCGCGTCTTCTGTGCCTAGCAGCCCTGGGGAGGCAAGTCTCCTCAATACACTGCTGGCACGGGTATTCTGGGGGGGTTCTCACTCCTTCCAGCCGCGAAACCAGCCAGGGAATCTCGGCAGCAGTGTCTCTAAGCCGCGTTAGTGTCGGTAACTTCCCTCGAGCCGGGTCTAAAGCGTCGGCAGCCTCCGCCCCAAACCCAGCGCTTTTTTCCGGTATCTCCTGCGTCGTCCGCGTCTTCCATGCCTAGCAGCCCTGGGGAGGCAAGTCTCCTCAATACGCTGCTGGCACGGGTATTCTGGGGGGTTCTTACTCCTTCCAGCCACGAAACCAGGCTCCTGGACCAGGGTTCCACCTTCTTCCAAGCTATTTCTCAGCAGCCCAAGCCGGAGCGAAAGAACTCGGCAGCCATCTTCCGGCACATGCGCAGAGTCTGGGGCTTATGTGGGGCAAAATGGGAGGCACCCTGGCAACAGAGCGTGAGTAGGCAGCCAGGTAACTGGGACCACTTCTACATTTGAGGTGTGCAAATATTTTTTATGAAGAAATGCATTTTCTATCCAGGCTATTTCTTTCGCTCATTATTTCTGGCCAGCTGGATTTCAGCATGTCAATTCAGGACAAAAGCCAAAGCCATACCAATCAGGAGCAGCTTGACTTCTTTTCTCAGCCAGCTGCCCAGTTGACTTTTTTCTAAGCCGGGGCCTGGTTTGCAGCTGGCGGGGAGGGGGAGCATGCGGGGCAAAATGGGAGGCACCCCGCCGGCAGCAGGCAGCAGCTGAACAGGCCTGGCTTCCAATGCTTCCTTCAGCATGGGCAGCAGTGGCAAGCAGTAAGGGAAGAGAGCCCCAGGATGGCATCCCTGCCTTTTTTTGACGAGAGCTGCAGCGGCAGGGAAAGCAAGGCTTCTTTGCCAGTTTCCCAGCTTGCAAAACAATAACTTTCACTGGTTCTGTGGGCGCAGCATGGAGGGAGTGGTGAGGGAAGGGGAAAGCAGCAGGGCTTGCACCCTGACTACAACCAGATTCCCTCAACAGCATGCAGAGGGTTCTGGCGCCCACAACCAACCCTGTGTTCCTCCTATTGTGTTCCTTTTTCATACCTTCAGGTGGAGGGAAGCGAGCCCTGCACGGCATCCTGGTTCTGCCCTCTGCAACCCACTTTGGCCCTGCTTGGCTAGGCACCTCCTGTCACCACTGCTGAACTTACCTTCACCAACTCATTTGATGAAGCCAAAGTAGCTCCTCTGTTCCACCCGAAAGGCCCAAAAATGGAACGCAGTAGGAGAAACCCAGGGTGGGGCACGGCAGAACCCTCTGTATACTGTTGAGGGCAGATGGTAGCCAGGGCATGAGACCTATTGCTTTCCCCCTCCCTCACTGTGCCTTGCAGTGCCTGCCCATTTGTGACCTCTCAGCCTAGATGCACTGTGGAGAGGAGAATCAAGGCAAAGAAGGCATTTTGGGCCAGTGTTAGAAACAATGAACAGCAGCAAAATTGAGCAAGACTTCAACATGGGCAAGGCAAACTTGCAAGAGGAAGAGGTACCTGCCCGAAAAGGAGAGGTGGTCCTTGAATTGGCTGGAGTATAGTGGAGGCAACCTTGAACTTCTAGAGGAAACATATAAAATAAATCTAACAAAGAACATTTAGTACTTCAAAGTTGTTAGGATTGGTGCAGGATCTGTTTATACAATCCAGAATTATCTTTCTATGGCC